GTATACATGTATGTATGTATGTATGTATGTATGTATGTGTGTGTATTCATGTATGTATGTATGTATGTTTGTATGTATGTATGCATGGATGTATGTATGTATGTATGTATGTACACATGTATGTATGTACGTTTGTATGCATGGATGCATGCATGCAAGCATGCATGCATGCATGCATGTATTTATGTATGTATGTATGCATGCATGCATGTATATGTGTGTGTATGCATGCATGCATGCATGCGTGCATGCGTGCATGCGTGCATGCGTGCATGCGTGCATGCGTGCATGTATGTATGTACGTATGTATGTACGTATGTACGTATGTACGTATGTATGTATGTATGTATGTATGTACGTATGTACGTATGTGTATAAATATAGATATATATATATATACGCCACAACGCAGTTTAGTTCTGAATTTAGGCACAATGTCGCTTACCATGGATAGCCATCATGCTGCTCGCTCTTCTCAGGGCTTACCTCTGTTCTGCACCATCTTGAGTTCAGCTTCTTGTTACCCTCAGGTCCCAAGGGTCCAAGTAAGAAACATATCCTCACCCAACACCTGTGCCATAATTACTGTTACCCAAGCCCCAAGTATCTGATTCTTGGGTATTTGGGCCCTCTGGGTTATTCATCTTTCCTCATGGGCTTGGTCGTAGAACGGATGGAAGTTATTGAAGCTGGACAGTCGTGACCTGAAGGGCGTGAATATGGTTTCGGGACACTGAACCCTAAACCCTAAACCTTAGTCCACTGGCCAAAAGGGGCCTTCGTGCTCTGGGTTTAGGGTTAGGGGTGTTAATTGCGGTCAAACTCTGCTTTGAAGTACGGATCCTGAGAGGGTCTCAAGAGTTCCTGCATAGCGCTAACCCAAAGGGTCCACGTAATACGTGCCCAAAACCTGTGCTACAATTCCTATTGCCCAAAACACATGTGCACGTATGGGATCTACTATAGGTTGGCCGGACAGGACTCCACTGTCGTGCGGGTGGGTCAAAAAGCACGAAAAATCTAACGACCCTACACCTGAAGCCTTCGCCCCAAGCCCCATTACACTTGAGTGTTTTCTAATCCCAAACCTTAAACCCTAATTATACCCTAAACCCTATACCCTAAACCATCACCACCTTAGCTCTGCGTCTGTACAGAGAGCTAGATGGAAGGTTATAGCAGGAGCTCAAAACAGGACCATATGAGCTATAGTCTAAACGGGCTCTATAGGAGATTATGTAGGGGAGCTTTATAGGGGTGATTAAGGGGGATACTAGGAGTTTAGACTATAGTTCGTACAGCTTTGCGCCCACACCTGCGCTTTCAACAACCTCCCTCCCCAGTTGAGAGCCCCACTAGCAGTTGCGCACGATGTTAAGAGATAATATGAGAGTGTGGGTTTGGAAGCGACACGTTCGGAAGCAGAACTTCACCCTAAACCCTAAACCCTTCTGTTCTATCCTTGGTAGAGGTTTACTGGGTGGCTGTTCGGGAACTTGAATTACGTAACCATAACAAGTATGTATAGTAACTTGTATGGCTTCCCCCAAATAGCAACTTAAATCAAGATCCTTAGCAACAACCCAGTTTAGGGTCTAGGGTTTGAAGCGCCCTGACAGATCCAGGATGGGTTATCATGCCCCGTGGCTTCATATCCTCAATTTACCAGGGGTGGATGAAAGGGCTTGCTAGGTCTGAAAGCCCATCCTAACCCTGAGGGTTGAATCCCGAAGCCCGAAGCCCCAAGCCACCACTCTGTAATCCCCGAGCCCTGATCCCCAATCCCTTTGAAGGTCTATCTTTTAAAAGGTCTAAGCCCCAAAGCTCAAAGCCCCCTAAACCCTGGAGCCCTACACCCTAAACCCTAAACCTATCAGCCCATCATGTCAGGTGGAGGTCATGGTGCCAATTGTGCTGCTGGGCCCTTCTTTTCTGCGCAGCGAGGCACAGTCTGAGTGCTTTCAGTTTAGTTGTAACAGTTAAGGTTCAGGGTATAGGGTCTGGCAATATTTTATAGTATACCACACTGGAAGTATTAAGATTAGAGCCGGAGTGAGGGGTTTAATGTTACCCTAAACCCTACCCCTAAAGCCTAAACCCTAACCCTAAACCCTGTAGTGGGGGGGCGGTGTTCAAGGCCTTTTGGATAGTGCGGGAGGCAGGTGGGAGTTTCAAACGGGGCTAAGGGTTCGGGGTTAGGGGTGGGAGTTTGAAACGAGGTTAAGGGTTTGGGGTCAGGGCATGGGGTGTTTAGGGTTCAGATGGTGCAGAGATTCGAAATTCAGCCGGGTCGAGGACATGTTTACACGTTGGGAAGGCAATAAACCCTTAACCCTTAAACCCTAACAGTATCTGGGGTTCTGAATCCTTAGGCGGTACAAGATGTGCCCCATCAAAACTAGTTCTTGGTGTCCCTGTACTTTCGGTTTGGGAGTCAGGGAGGGTAGTCTGGAGTCTAGGGTTTAGGGTAGTACAGAGTCTGGAGTTCACGGCCTAGGGTCTAGAATTCATTGCGTGCCCCAGCAAACCATTTGTTCCTTGATCGAAGCCTCATATTCCTTGTAGAACTTAGGGTGTGCTAGGCAACCTGTTAAACTGGACCTTCAAGTAGGGAGTACTAAGCGTCAGCATGAGGTACCGCAAGCCCTAAATAAAAACGTAGATGCTTAGCCCATGGTGGCCTTTCTGTGGCCTTTGCGGTTGTGAAGTGCGATCTCAGATTTCGACTTTGGGAAACATGTAATCAAGGGAGCTTTGCAAACCCCACCCACAACAAGGAGAAGGAAAACAGCACATGAAAAGGAGCCTGGGCCTACCTTGTGAGTTCCTGGGCCAAGTAAACTCAATTGATTCTGCGCGACTAATGGTTGATCTGCGTGAATGAAACAAGGAAACGCACTTCAAAATTGTACGTGTGCAGGAGTATGAATAGGGATTACTGTAGGATCCTGTAGGGTTTGGAGAGAGGATTTTGGAAACCCCAGCCCGCAAATTCGGGGATCTATTATAGTAGTCATATGATTGCCGCACGGCCATGCTTTGTGGGGTTGGGCTATTGAAGCCCACTTCTTAAATTTATAGATTGTTTGACAATGCTGCAAGGGAGCATCGCACAGGTTGAGGGGCAGATCTATTCATTATGAAGGGGTTAGGTGGACCCCCACCCTATAATAGTGGCTATGGGGGATAAGGAGTATATCAGGGTCCTACTATCTTCCTTTCATACCACTATTAAAGGGTGGTGGGGGGTCCTTCTAATGAAGAGGCTCTGGTTAGATTTAACCCCCGGAGCCTTTTAAGCCTACCCGAGGACTCCTATGTAGTTTCTGTTTGGGATTAGGTATGGCCTTTTTGGGGAAGGATTGAGGGTCTAGGGTTAGATATTTGCCCAAACGGAACTACATAGCAGTTTCTGCCCTAAACCCCAAAAACGACCTTTGGCCGCCCCAGATCTCCTTTGGCCAGCTGATGGCAACAAATCGCTGCATCAACTTGCACCCTGGCTGACATGGTTTAGGGTGTAGGGTACAGGGTTTAGGGATTAGGGTTTGGGGTTTAGGGTTCTAGTGTGTAGGGTATAGGGTCTAGGGTCTAGGGGTTTAGGGTTTAGAGTCCAGGGTAGGGGGCTTGGGGTGTAGGATACAAGGTGGAGTTTAGCGGGTGTTGCGGTTGGAAGCTTTGGGGTCAAGACATGCTGGTGCTGAAGACTAAGCCCCAAACCCGTAAACCCTATTTACTTGAGTCATGTCATCCCGGGGCCAAATACCAGGTTTTCAGTTTTGCAGAAACTCCCCTTTACATAGAACCCTACTTGAAGCGCAGGAAGGGAAACGCTCAAGTTATGAGCAGGAGATATGCTATATCCCCTACAGTTACGAGTACAGATTATGCCAGTGTCTCGCAACATGCATGCACCACTGGAAGATGTGTCAAGTGGCGAGATCTGGAAAAGCCAGCGATCTAGCCAGAGGATGCTAAGTATCTAGGTGGGGAGTACACAGATGTTTTTTTTTCCCGTGTGCTGTAAGAGACCATCGGGAACTATAGGCGTGTATAGGCATATATAAGGTTTATACCTTATTCATGTGGCGTGACCTTGGCAATGAGAATAGGGTTTGCGTGGGAGTGAAGATCCAAAGTGGCTGTACTGTATCAGGTAGTATCCCCCATATGTGATGTAACTACAATCAAAAGTAGGAGCCTTAGCACTGGACATAGGGTCCCCTCTTCTAGTATAGTCCCCATATAGTCCCTAACAAGGAACCCGTGTCATTTATATAGGAAAGATTGAGATTGCAACCTAAGCCCTACATAAACACATCATATGCATGCATACATACAAACATACATACATACATAAATACATACATACATACATACATCTACATACCCTATAAGATTCTGTGGGATATTTTGGACTCTAGTTCACCCTTAGGCGCTTAAAGTCCTTTGGGTAGCCTACGTGGGCCATAGGAGAGCCGCCATGAGGAAACGCAGGCATCTGCCAAGCCCGAACTCCAGGGTTTAGGGGTTTTAGGGTT